AAGACAAGTGAAAACCTACACACACGCAAACACCTACACCCAAGACGGGGGAAAACCTACACCCACGCAAACACCTACACCCAAGACGGGTAAAAACCTACGCACATGCAAACACCTACACACAAGACAAGTGAAAACCTACATGCACGCAAACACCTACACCCAAGATGGGGGAAAACCTACGCCCACACAAACACCTACACCCAAGACAAGTGAAAACCTATGCCCACGCAAACACCTACACCCAAGATGGGTGAAAACCTACGCCCACACAAACACCTACACCCAAGACAAGTGAAAACCTACGTGCACGCAAACACCTACACCCAAGATGGGGGAAAACCTACACGCATGCAAACACCTACACCCAAGACAAGTGAAAACCTACGCGCACGCAAACACCTACACCCAAGACGGGTGAAAACCTACGCCCACGCAAACACCTACACCCAAGACGGGTGAAAACCTACGCGCACGCAAACACCTACACCCAAGACAAGTGAAAACCTACGCGCACGCAAACACCTACACCCAAGACGGGGGAAAACCTACACCCACGCAAACACCTACACCCAAGACGGGTAAAAACCTACGCACATCCAAACACCTACACCCAAGACAAGTGAAAACCTACGCACACGCAAACACCTACACCCAAGACGGGTAAAAACCTACACCCACGCAAACACCTACACCCAAGACGGGGGAAAACCTACACCCACGCAAACACCTACACCTAAGACGGGGGAAAACCTACGCCCATGCAAACACCTACACCCAAGACGGGTGAAAATCTACACCCACACAAACACCTACACCCAAGACGGGTGAAAACCTATGCGCACGCAAACACCTACACCCAAGACAAGTGAAAACCTATGCCCACGCGAACACCTACACCCAAGACAAGTGAAAATCTACGCCCACGCAAACACCTACACCCAAGACGGGTGAAAACCTACGCACATGCAAACACCTACACCCAAGACGGGTGAAAACCTACGCCCACACGAACACCTACACCCAAGACAAGTGAAAACCTACGCCCACACAAACACCTACACCCAAGACGGGTGAAAACCTACGCACATGCAAACAGCTACACCCAAGACGGGTGAAAACCTACGCCCACACGAACACCTACACCCAAGACAAGTGAAAACCTACGCCCACACAAACACCTACACCCAAGACGGGTGAAAACCTATGCACATGCAAACACCTACACCCAAGACGGGTGAAAACCTATGCCCACACAAACACCTACACCCAAGACAAGTGAAAACCTACGCCCACACAAACACCTACACCCAAGACGGGTGAAAACCTACGCCCACACAAACACCTACACCCAAGACAAGTGAAAACCTACGCCCAAACACCTACACCCAAGACAAGTGAAAACCTACACCCACACAAACACCTACACCCAAGACGGGTGAAAACCTACGCGCACGCGAACACCTACACCCAAGACAAGTGAAAACCTACGCCCACGCGAACACCTACACCCAAGACGGGTGAAAACCTACACCCACACGAACACCTACACCCAAGATGGGTGAAAACCTACACCCACACGAACACCTACACCCAAGACGGGTGAAAACCTACACCTACGCGAACACCTACACCCAAGACGGGTGAAAACCTACACCCACGCAAACACCTACACCCAAGACAAGTGAAAACCTACACGCACGCAAACACCTACACCCAAGACGGGTGAAAACCTACGCCCACGCAAACACCTACACCCAAGACGGGTGAAAACCTATGCCCACGCAAACACCTACACACAAACATTCACCACAACTTTATTCATTGTGGTCAAAATGAAGCCACCCAAAGGCCCACCAGCTGGTGAATGGGTACATCCTCACAGCGGGACAGAGGGGCACGGTTCTGTACCAGCTGGAGAATGGGTCGATCCTCACAGTGGGACTGAGAGGCGCGGTTCTATACCAGCTGGTGAACGGGTCCGTCCTCACAGCAGGACAGAGGGGCGCAGTTCTGTACCAGCTGGTGAACGGGTCCGTCCTCACAGCGGGACAGAGGGGCGCAGTTCTGTACCAGCTGGTGAACGGGTCTGTCCTCACAGCGGGACAGAGGGGCGTGGTTCTGTACCAGCTGGTGAACAGGTCCGTCCTCACAGCAGAACAGAGGGGCGTGCTTCTGTACAAGCTGGTGAATGGGTACATTCTCACAGCAGGACGGAGGGGTGCAGTTTGGTACCAGCTGGCGAATGTGTCTGGCCTTACCTATGGAGGGTGCTGTGAGCCCTCTCTGACCCTCACAGAGCCCTCCATCAGGCAGGCCAAGAGCTCAGCTCTTCACACCCTGCTGGCCACCTGTGTGCCACAGGGGCTTGCCTTCCATCATGTGGGATGGGACGAGCTGGGCACATGGCTCATGGTCCTGTCCCGCCCTGTAGCTGTCTCTGCAGGAGGCGGGGCTGTAAGGACTAAGCCCCTGAAAGAGCTGCCAAGCCCAGGCCCTCGCTGCTGGATGATCGCCATCCAAGGCTCCTTGAGCCCTTCTGCTACTGATTCTGACATGTAAATCCTGGGCCGGGAAGGAGAGAGCACCTCTCAGGCAGAGCAGCAGCCTAGCTCACCCCCATCACCCCATGTGGGGCGGTGGGCCAGCAGACCCTCAGCAGCCACGTCCCATGCACCCCCATCGGGGCCACCCATCCTACACCTCCCCACAACCGGGAAGTGAGCGGGAGGCATCACTGCATGCCTCGGCAGATCAGAGAGCGCGGCCCACGGGACAAGCCCCAAACCCAGGGAAGCGGGCCCTCTGTGCCACACAGCAGGGGTGCGCTGGCCCACACGCCATCTCCAGAGCGGGACGGCCCCCAGGATGGAAGGGAACAGAGCCCAGACGGCAGGGCGTGAGCCAAGCTGCCATTGAGCCCCTCCATAGGATCGTAATGCGGCCACTGCACTCCAATCTGTGGGTCTGTGACAGGGAGGTCTGGGCAGGGTCTGCACACAGGTGACAGAAACAACTTGGCCACGCTGGCCTTGTGTGACAACAGGGACATGGGTCCCACCTGGCGAGGCTTTTCTGAAGTGGAACATGATTTCGGAGAAAGGACCAACCCCCTCCTGAGACTGGGCCCCGCCTGCGCTGCAGGGCTGGAGAGCCTCCTCCCTCATCAAGCGATGGCTGCCATGGACGAAGGCATATTCCTTAAATGTCCTTCACTGGCGACTTCATCAATGTGGAGGAAATACAGAACTGGCAACTCTGTTGGTCTCAAGAGTTATTTTTAAATGTTAATGGCCCATGATACAGGAGCATCTGAGGGGCCACAGAAGTCTCTGGAAGCCATGATAAGCAGGCTAGGCCTGCAGCTGGCCACGCGGGAGGGTCAGAAAAGCACTAAGGCAAGGGTTTCCGGACATGAGCGCTGAGGTCAGCCAGCGGGAGGGCCGAGGCGCCGGGACACCCAATCCTGAGATCAGGGCAGTCTCCTACTCCACGCCGGGAGCGCCCAGAGCGGGCAGTATCGGACTTCTGCTAAGCAGGCTGGGCAGCCCAGGATATGCACGTGAGGACCAGGGTCCTGAAGTGCCCGTCCCTCCTGGCCCTGTGACCTAACCCAGGAGCCATGCAGGGGCACAAAGACCTAAGTGCAACAGCTGCACTGGGAACTGCTCAGCACACTGAAGAGACAGGAGAGCCCCAGACGCAACCCACACGCGAGTCACTCGGCTCTGTGCACTGACGGTGCCCTCCGAGAGGACGCACGCTTCCTGTGCCCAGGAACCCCAGAGCCCAGTGTGACTGGCAGGTCCAGAGTCCGTCGCTAGGCTGTGACCCTGTGGATGTGTGTGGGTGTGGGGACCGCTGGCAGGGAACGCTGACATGCTAACCACGGCTCCCCAGGGATTCTGTGTGTCCAAATTCCCTGGCACGAGCCTACATCACTGTCACATCAGGAAACAGTAAGTTTCCTTTAAAAAAGGCTAAGAATAGAATTGCCCTGAGCCTCTGCAAAGCGTGCTCCGCAGCTGGTGCGTGAGCCTGTTGCGGGAGGGCGCTGTGTTCTGAACAGAGCACCCTCCACCTCCACCGTGCTGGGAGCCGTCACCCTCCCAGCCTCCTCAGCTCTGGCCCTTTCAGGTGCGGACTGGTGTGGCCCCCAGTTCTGCACAGAGGAGCCCGAGGACAACAACCCCAAGCAAGCAGTGCACCCGGGGCTGGCTGGGGTCCTTGGGGCCGTGGCCCTCCTGCTGGCTGCAGGGCGGCGGGGGATGGGCCAGCGAGTGCAGTGGGGGCCAGCTGGGGGTCAAAGGTATAGACTGCCAGTGTCCCCTCAGACCCGAGTGCCACACTGACCCCACCTGGGGCAGATGCTCCTTTCCCTCCCCAGCCCAGCCCGGGCTCAGGCTTAGCAGACAGCACCTGAGGTGCCTCTGCCCATCCCAGACCAGCCGGACCCAGGGCAGGCTGCTGGGCACCCGTCAAGGAAAGTTCGGTGGGACCCCCACCAAGGCTCAGCTCCCTGAAAGGGCAGATGCAAGACCAGATGCCCCACTCCAACCTAGCCCATGGCTGTAAATGGCACATCTGTGTCACCGCCTATGTCCCCAGATGTGCAGGCCCCAACAGGGAGCCTTCAGATGTGGCAAAGACACATTTGGAGCATGCTGGCAGGGCAGGGCGTGTGCCAGCAGGCAGGAACCCCCCACCTTAGCACACGCATGTGTGTGTCTGTCCGGGGCATGCACAGGTGCACCTGGCTTCTGCGTCGGGGCAGGCACACCTGTACCCTGTCGAGGGAACCTGCAGGCCGAGGGCCCAGTCCCAGGTTCACAGCCCTGACCAGGCTTCTCTGCAGGTGCATTTGTGTATGTGCACACGTGTGCCCAGGCGGCTGTGGCCAGGCAGCTGTGTGGACAAAGCCTGTGTGCACAGGACCACACTCCCACCCTGCACCCAGTGTGCACCACGCCCAGGGCAGAGATGCCGGACCACACACTCACAGGCTGTCCCGAAGCTCCTGCGTGTCACTCGGTGTCCCTAGGGACCGAAGGCTCTGCTCCAAAGAGGTCACTGCCCGAGAGAAGAGGGACAGGCATGAGGGTCAGAAGGAGCCTCCTTGCCCCTGCTACTCCCATGGGTGGCCCACCACAGCCCAGGCACGGTGAGGAGAGCCCGAGGACCAGTGCCTGAGCCAGGGCGGACCACCTGAGTGGCCTGGAGGCCAGGACCCACACTGCCCTCAGCAGGAGGCCATGCCAGCCAGGACCCCTCCCCAGCTGGCCTGAAACAGATACTCAGGTCCACGTGCAGCTCAGGGGCTCTGAGGAGCTGCCTCTAGCAGGCTTGCCCTGGTTCTGGGGACAGCTTCTCTCCACCCTGCTCCCCTCACCCCACCCTTGCCCCTCCCCTGGCCATCTTGGGTGTGGCTTTCATCCCTGCTCTCAGCCTCAGTGACCTCTGGTCTCCAAGTTTGAGGGGCCCTAGGATGCTCCTTCCTCCCCTGGGCTCCATCCAGAGCACACACAAGACTTCAAGAAGGGGCATAGTAGGGTCGGGAGAGGAGCCAGCAGGGGACAGGGGGTGGCAGGCAGGGGGCAGCGGGCAGGGGGCAGGGGGCAGCGGGCAGGAGGTAGCAGGTAGGGGGTAGCGGGCAGGGGCCAGCGGGCAGGAGCAGCCAGCTGGAACGGCACCCAGGCTTGACCCAGCCCTGGCTCCTTCCCACGGGAGAAACCCAGGACTGCACTGCAGGAGGGCCTGAGGGGGGAAGCTGCCCACCAGCACCCTGGCCTCCAATGTCTCTGGTGGTCCAGGCACCTGGGCAGAGGGCGCAGGCCCGGGCCAGATGAAGACTCACCACTGAAGTTGATTTGGAAGACGTTGGCCGACGTCTCCTGAAACAGCTCCTGAAGGTCTCGTGGATCGGCCTGGGTGGCTGGGAGGAGAGAAACACAGGCTGAGGGTGAAGCCTTCCGGCCCAGCTCTGCTGACCACTCTGGGCAGTCCCCAGGGGTAGGGAGCCGAGAGGCGACAGAGTGGCCCTGAGCCCCATTCCCTGCCTTCACGGCTCGGCCACCTTGGGGTCAAGGCTGGACACCTGCCTTCACAGTACCCACAAGCTGGAAGGCAGCGGGTGGTCCCTCAGAAACGCCGCACCCTGAGCTCCCGTATACCCCAGCAGCTGGCGCGTGTGCCAGAGGCTCAGGGTGGAATCACTAAGAGTCAAAGCACAGCCCCACTGATGAGGCAACAACAGACACTACAAGGTCAGGCTCCACGTGGGCAGCTCAGCACTGGAAACAGAACGCTGGTTCCTGCGCGGTGCAGGTAAGCCCCGAGCGCGGCACACACGGAGATGACAGCCAGCGAGGAGAGGCCACAGGCTGCACAGTCCCACCCCTCCACAGTGTCGGAACAGACCAATCCGAGGACAGTGCCACAGCAGGGGTTGGGGGGAGGATGAGTGTGACTGCTGATGGGGACGGGGTTCCTTCTGGGGCTGATGAAAACGTTTTAGCATTAAAAGGTGGTGGTGATTATAGAATGCTGAATATTCTGGCACTGAACTGCATGCTTTAAGGCGGTTAACTGGCTGAATTCTCAGTGACTGAATTCTATCTGTTTTTAAAAACTCACAGAACATTATGGGGACAGCAAGTCCTCGTGAGGTTGCGGCGATGGTTCGCTCGCCCGCTGCATGGTGAGGATAAACAGCACGCCCACCACGGGAAGGGTCTGCAGGCTGCACACCCTTGCTGTCTGCCCACCCTGCAGCTGGCATCTTGGACATTTACACAGAGGAGCAGAGCACGCACCAAACCACATCAAAACACTCGCCGTGCCCGCCCTCCGGCCAGCAGCCCTCGGGGTTACAGAGGAGGAGCGCACACCCAGAGAAGCTCCTGAAGAGCACTCCCACTCCCAGCAGATTGATTCCTACCAGCCCGCACCCAGAGAGAGGGCTGCTGTCCAGGAGACACGCGGGAAAGGACAGTCACACGGGGCCTGTGTGCAAGGGAACTGCAGGCACGCGACACGGGGAATCTCAGAAACATCGCTGAGACATCAGCGCCAAAGGGACGAAGGGCCAGAACCAGCAAGGCAATGCCCGGGGACTCTGGGCAGGCTGGGGAGCTGGGCAGGGCAGGACGGACGCTCCTGGGGGGCTGCCCTGTGCCTGGACAGAGCTGCGGGTTACAGATTCTGTCACAACGCCCAGAAAGGCACACTTAGGAGCTGTGCAGCTCACTGCACATACATGTCACCTTGAAAGAAAAATGCACGGCCAGTCAACTAGCCGTCGGGAGGAAGCGCCGGGGGCCAGTTCGCTCTGAAACGCGGGCAGGTGAGGGCACGGAAGGTGCAGCTAGTCCGGGCAGCCAGACTCCAGGCCTGCGTGCAGGTGCCGGCTGCGCGGGTCTGGACAGTGCTTTCGACTTTCTCTGGGTGTTTAGAATTTTCCATATTAAAGTTTAGGAGTAAAAGAACATGGTTTGAGGTCTACAAACAGGAGTGAGGGCTAGAAAACGCTAAGGGTGCCACGGGGACCCTCCCAACACTAACCCTGGCTGGGCAGCCTGAGGTGTCCCAGCATGAATGGACACCTGACTGGACATGTGGTGTTCCACCAGGGCGAGGCCCCAGCCCAGGTCTGCTCGGGGTCACTGAGCTGCCTGGCCAGCGCAGGGCTGACCCTGGCACCCCGTCTGGGAGTACACAGGCCTGTCATGGCTGCTCTGGGGCCCCCCGGCTCACAGGGCCAAGTCTCGGCCTCTACATACTTTCCATCTGGCCACCTCTGCCCTGCCCCAGGCCTAGGCCTCCGGGTCCAGCAGCCATACTCAGCGAGGCCTGGAGAAAGAAGAAACTTCCAGACAGCCTCCAGGAGGGAGGCCTGAGGAATGCCTCCCCATCCCTTCACCCAGCACCCACCGCCCCTCGATGTCACATGGCCCAGCCCTAGCAAGGTCAAGTCAGGACGTCAGTTGCATCAGTGAAACGGTGAGAGTGATAATGGGTTAAATCAAGTTTAGCCCAAAGGTGCTCCTTACACATCTTCCGTTCAGCCTAAAGGGTTCCCCGTGCAGCTTCAACTGTAGCACGTGGCAGTGTGAACGGACCACGGCCTTCGCTTGCGCCAGTCACTAAGTTTTGGCTAATCTAACGCAGCCAACTGTTGGAACCGTGTTTGAACCGGCAAACACCGAGCTGGAATCGAGCTGTTTCCGGGCCTCACTTCCACTGTCTGTATGTCACTTTACTGTTTCTATCACAATCTTCTTCTACCCATGGCTGCGCTGGAGTCTCTGAGCCTGCTCTGGCTCGGGAGGCTGCCTGATTCACAAATCGTTCATCCCTTGATTAAACTCCTTTAAATTTAATTCCGCTGAAGTTTTCCTTCTAACATGGAACACGCTCTGGCAGGAGCACAGGAACTCATACCAGCGCCCTGCGTCACTCTCCCTGTTCTCAGACAGGCAGGGGACCCGCTCAAGGTCACACAACCCACTCAAGGTCACACAACCCGCCCAAGGTCGCAGGCCAGTAAGAGGTACACACAGGGAGAGGGGCCGCAGCAGGAAGCAAAAACAAAACAGACTCACAGAACCGCCGAAATCACGACCACAAGCGTCCATATTTTGTGAAACGAACTCAGAGATTCACGAAGTTCACCAATCCGCAAGCAGAATAAATATATATATATTTTAAATCCAATTGCATTATAGGCAAACTGCAGAAAATCAGTGATAAAGAAACCCTAAAAGCGGCCCAGAGGAAAAACTGCACATTTCATGAGGAAGAAGAAACATGAGAAGGACTTGACTCTTTCATCAGAAACTGGAAGCTGAAAGTCAATGGAAGGATGTCTTTAAAGTGCTGGAAGGAAAAAGTTGCAGCTAGAATTCTATACCCACTGGAAATACATTTCAAAACCAGGGGCAGATTTCGAGAAGCAAAAATGAAAAGCATCAGTTCCAACCAGGTGTAAAGTACAGCAAATGCTAGAAGCAGCTAGTTAGGCTGAAAGTAACAGCAAGAAGCCTGGATCTACACGAAGAATTGAAGAATGCCAGCATGTAAATAAAAAAGAGATGCTTTCATTTGTTTAAAACACTACAGTTTGTGAAAGCAAAATCCATACCTATGTGCCGGTGTCATCACGTGTAATGAGTAACGCATGGTGCTTAACATGTTGAAAGCACACTGAAGGGGCAGGCATGGGACCCAGAATTGCATTCCTGTGCAGGAGTAGCTTCATGCTAATTAATTTCACAACTCAGAGGATGAGTTCCTTGAAAAATAGAAAACAATCAAAGCTCACCTAAGAAGAAACAGACAGCATGGATAGCACTGCAGCATTAAAGGAAGAGAATCTGTAGATGAAAATCTTCCCACAACAAAACTCCAAGCTCAGATAGCATCACTGGTGAACTCTACCACATATCTGTAGGAAGAGTAATACCAATTCTACACGAACTATTTCAGAAGACAGAAGAGGAAGAAATCTTCCCAGCTCACTGCAAGATAGTGTGGCATCAGCATGGGCAGAGACATACAAATCCACAGAAACAAATCAGTATTCCACATGAACACAAAGTCAACTGATTTTAGACAAAAGTACCAAAGTAATTCAATGGAGAAAACACAGTCTTTTCAATCAGTGGTGCTGCAACACGTGGGTATCTATTGAACATCAACTCAAAGCTGACAAAACATAAATACTAACTCAACATGGATCATGGACCTATGTGTATAAGCTAGGGTATAGGACTTCTAAAAATAAAACAGGAGGAAAATTCTTTGCAATCTTGCAGTAGGGAAAGATTTATTCATTGATATACAAAAAGCAAAACCACAAAAGAAAAATTTCCCATTGAACAGTAAAACTTTGGCGTTCAAATAACACAGCTAAGAAAATTAGAAGACAAGCCACAATGTAAGAGAAAATAATCACAATACAGACACCTGACAAAGTCCTTGTCTGCCAAGTAAGTGAGCTCATGATATAGTAAGAACACGCAACATAAAATGAGCAATTAATGCAAATAGACACTACACAAAAGAAGATATGCAAATAGCCAATAAGCACATGGCAAGAAACACGCAGATGAAAACTCTCACCGCCAGCACCCCAGCGCACACCACAGATGAAAACTCTCACCACCAGCACCCCACTGCACACCGCAGATGAAAACTCTCACCACCAACACCCCAGTGCCCACCACAGATGAAAACTCTCACCACCAGCACCCCATTGAACACCACAGGTGAAAACTCTCACCACCAACACCCCAGTGCACACCACAGATGAAAACTCTCACCACCAGCACCCCACTGCACACCACAGATGAAAACTCTCACCACCAGCACCCCAGTGCACATCGCAGATGAAAACTCTCACCACCAACACCCCAGTGCACACCGCAGATGAAAACTCTCACCACAACAACCCACTGCACACCACAGATGAAAACTCTCACCACCAACACCCCACTGCACACCACAGATGAAAACTCTCACCAACACCCCACTGCACACCACAGATGAAAACTCTCACCACCAGCACCCCAGTGCACACCACAGATGAAAACTCTCACCACCAACACCCCACTGCACACCCCAGATGAAAACTCTCACCACCAACACCCCAGTGCACACCGCAGGTGAAAACTCTCACCACAACACCCCAGTGCACACCGCAGATGAAAACTCTCACCACCAGCACCCCACTGCACACCGCAGGTGAAAACTCTCACCACCAACACCCCACTGCACACCGCAGGTGAAAACTCTCACCACTAGCACCCCAGTGCACACCGCAGGTGAAAACTCTCACCACCAGCACCCCAGTGCACACCGCAGGTGAAAACTCTCACCACCAACACCCCGGTGCACACTGCAGATGAAAACTCACCACCAGCACCCCAGTGCACA